CTCTGACAGCAGTCAAGGTTGAGCCACCACGATTAAACTCATCGATGTCGTACAGTAGACGCGCAGTAGTGGCAGTCTAGGCTTATCACATTCTATCGAAATTTTGTTCGGATTACATTCCGTGCTGTCGTTCGCATTCGCAATGTGGAGTCGTGTGGGTGGCGGAAAACAGCAGCCGTTGAACTTTCCGATGGTGGTGTTCGTGAAGAATTTTCCGTCGGGATAGGCCCTGTCGCCTGTGGTGAACGGTCCACCCACTGCGTGCATCTCCGACATCGTATCTTCTCCTAGCTCAGCGTTTCCCCAGATGTGAAGTCGCGGTCTTGAGCTTGGCATTACACATCGCGCACTTTTGGATGCATCGGCCCCGGATTCTTACCCCAGAATTTCAGCGGTGACACGGTTGTTGTTCTCACGTCTCTCGTATTGACTTTGCGGGGTAGGCATGCGCTGGAAGCATGTTGGCGTCCAGCCTCTACGGAAGTTCGACGTGTGCCTCGTCTCGATGCCACTAGCGACAGCCAATTGCTTGACCAGGCCCGGTGGCATGGCACTGCCCAGGTGCTTAGCAAGGGCAGAGCTCGACAAGCAGTGCAGTAGCGCCTTTGGTAACTGCCGATCGAAGCAGAGCCGCCTCGTGGAAGATAACGGTTCCTATGTCTTCATCGCTTATACCGTGTTACGAGAACCTTGCGAAGCTCATGTGATAGGTCGCTTCGTTCGAGGCGGTCGCTCAGAGTCGGATCTCTAGATAGTCATGCCGATAAGTGCATGCGTCGATATGAGCAGGCCTGGACGCTGCGTTGGTTGACGCTCCGACATCGTCATGGGGCATGCGTGCAGACGTGGCTTTATCTTGGGCTGAGGTTATCGTGAAGCAAGATGATGCTACTAGCGGCACTAAGGTCTCGCGCTAACTATACATAGTTATCAAATCCACTTCTTTCATCCCACTTCTGGATGATTGTGGGGTAGCCGTTGATCTGCCTTATCTCCAGACTCTCAACATCCTCATGATGCTTTTTTGGCTATAACCTTCTTTACGAGCCCGCCACTGATGATAGTTTCAGACGATGCGGATAATCTATCAATCGCGTGTCCAACTTTTCCGCTGAGCGGGCGTCCTCCCATAGAGGGGTTTAAAGAGCGAAAATGCGACGCTCGACTGCGGTGGCTGGCCAATCAGCCGCACGCTGATGCACGATATGGATACTTCGGGGAAAGCTGGGTTGTTGAAAGGCCGAAGCTCGGCATCCAGGCTCAGACACCCTGCATCAACCACACCAGCGACATGTTTTTATCAGCTGCTATCTTGGCCCACACCGGTCTAATGATAGGCGAAGGGAACCATCGGCTGTGTCACTGACCCGTCACGCGCATTTGAAGCGTCGTATCCGCATTCACTGGATCCGCATCTTGAGTCCTATTACTTCGCACCGGGATTCTCACCCCATTGTCGTTCGACATTCCCAGACCTCGCCCCCCTCCAACCAAGTCTACTCTACCCTGATACTCAAGATGCCCGCATTGGCTCAAGACAAGGTTTTGGCGAGAGATCTGAAGGCTAAGAAGACCAAGTCCAGGAACGGATGTGGTCGATGCAAACTCAAGAGGGTAAAGTCCAACGATTGCGCCTACTGCACTGGCCCACTTGCTGACAAAAACAAAGCTCAAATGTGACGAGACCGCTCCCGGTTGCTTGCAGTGCAAGAAAAGGAACGTCGCGTGTCCTGGCTACGAGAAGACTCTGAAATGGTCGACAAAGTACGAAGTCTTCAACCCCGCCCAGTCCAAGTCGGCGTCCCCTAGACCCAGGTCAACACCCGACGCCACCTCTACCACTTCACCAGCAGCGAAGTCGCCCCTTCCGCAGAATGTCGCCAGTGGTATCGAGGCTGCGTTGGCTGCCGTCCTCCCTGCAGGCAGGAAGAACTCCCCTCCCACACAACAACCCTTGACAACACAGGCCTCATCAGCAGTCCCATCCCCACCAAGCTTTGAGGAACCAGCCTCGATACAAGAGTCCTCTACCGAGGATGGTGATTCCCCTCGCGAGTACGAGCCTTTCCCCATGGAGGATGTCAACAACATGGACCCCATCATGCTTGATGGATTCGCCGACGCTATCCAAATGCCCAACGAAGACTTCAGCTTTGATCCATTTGACAACATCGACTTCGACTCTGGCTCACTGGAGGACCTTCAGTTCGACATGCAAGACCTTTCACAGAAGCAAGACATGAGTTCCACTTCGTTGCCTGTTATGGACCGGGAACAGAACCGAGAGTCTAGCCCCAGGCTCTCGCGTTCGTTGCTTCTTGACTTGTATCGTCTTCCAAGTCCTTCTCCAGACCCATCCTCTCCGGATGATGTGGAGTCACTGCTCGTCCAGCACTACTTCAAGGACGTCTGCGCTGTGTTTTCTTCTTTCGATTCTGTTCTTAACCCCTTCCGGACTACCATTGGTCGCATCTACAAGGACTGCCCTTCTATTAATTACGCGATCCAATCCATGGCTGCCGCACATCTTGCCAACACATTCCCCAACATGGCGGCCACCGGCCTTGAGCTACAGCGCAAGGCGCGCGAGGCACTGGAGCTGGAGCTTCCGCTTGCCCAGAGGGATCACACAAGCGCGACCAAGACGTTCTTGAGCATCATGCTACTTGGTCTCACCACCTCATGGCACGACAGCAACGCGCTCGGACTCGAGTACTTGTCTATCGCGCGAGACCTCATCCTCCCCAAGCTTTTCAGTAGGTCGGGCGGCATCGAGGTCGAGCGCGAGGCACAGTTCTTTGAGGAGTCTTTGATCCACTGGGAGATGCTCATGGGCTTCGTAACAGAAGATGCCATGAGCTTCTCGCCCAAATCAGGACTGCGACCTAGCATCACCGCCAGGACGAACACTCCTGCTGCGCGTGGGCCGCAAGGCAAGACAGTCCCTCATCCTTGGACAGGCATCGCCCCAATGATCCACTTCTTGTTCGCCGAGGTTGGTCGTCTAGTTCGCAAGGAGCGTTCGATGGACCGTGAAAACTCCATGGACCTCCGCCGACGACAAGAGAACCTCCAGAACGCCGCCTCACTGGAAGAGGACCTCCTAGCTGTTGACTACCCATCAGTCGATCAGGTCATTGACACTGGTGATGAGCGTACCCCCAAGGAACACTTCGTCACCATCGCCGAGGCCTACCGTCTGTCTGGCTTGCTGGAGATCTACCGTGTCTTCCCCTCCATCCTACGCAAGCGCTTGGGATCTGGCAAGACCAAGGGTAGCGAGAACATCGAGTTCGCCTTCCCTACGCCGCGATTCGAGACAGTCTACGAGGCTACCGACATCAAGTTGTGGCTCAACTCACTTGCCATGCACATCATCCGGTCACTCGAGTCTCTGCCTTCCTCGTCTGGTACATTCTGCATCCAGCCGCTTCTACTTGTTGTGTGTGCTTCTGAGTTGAAGTTCGTCTCTTCGATTGACTTCTTCGACGTGCAGGCCAACGACGCAGAGGTCGTCGCCGCTCGTGAGTTTGTCATCAGGCGCTTGCAAGAGTTCGCTCTTAGGCTTCCCAACAAGCCTCTTCGCAAGATGATCCAGCTCATCAAGGAGACCTGGCGCCAGTCTGACGAGGGCCAAGACGCGTTCTGGATTGACGTCATGAACGATAAAGGTTACCACACCATCATGTGAGCCAACCTTGTCAACCTCCACCGACCATGGGGCGGAACCTCGCGGCTCCCCTCAACCAAAATTCTGTCCTTTCTACGATACATTTACGACATGACATTAGCGCTTTTCCTGGACACGGCATTTCTCTACGGCGTTCGACATCCTGTTCCTGTTTCTTTTTAGCGCGCCATTCCTGGAGACCATGTTCTGGTCCTCCCCTGTACGACTGTATCCACAGTACTGTCCTCGATACGAACTCTAATGTACGGCTTCCACCTAGATTCCTCGGTTCTCAGCATCCCGGTGATGTGAAATGTGGACCCTGGCCTACCGCGACACTACCATAATACGACTACGATACCCCGCGCGATACCCTAGCGACCATCCCATTGCCTACTGCGATAAACAAACCCTTAATACTGGCATCCATCTGGAATGCTCTGCCAGCGACCACATCCCCTTCTGCGACCTTGTCCCATTACGATACCCCCCAGCTGCGATCAGCCCACTGCGATGACCTGTCACGATGACTTGTACCGATATCTGGACCCATACCAGGACCCAGTTCCGCCTAATAATGACATCTATCGAGATGCCCATAGCGACAACCCGAGCGACACCTAATCTTCCATGCGACAATACCATACCAAGCAACAACACTAATTCCTCTTTTACCCTTGCGATACCCCCGCTGTTTGTATATTAGTTTTCTTCCCTTCCAGGTAGGTATGAGTGGATGCTTCCATGTGTTTCCGATCGCGACACTTTCGTCCACTGCGGCCATGCATCCTTGCGCCCACTACCTGGCTCGACCGTTTGCACCCTGCCACGATTGGATCGATGCATCGTTCGGGTGACTTGTATGTAGACTGCTTGCTTTAGCGTTCTTGTTCTTGCTTCACGATACCCATTTGCTTTACTGTTCTGTTGAGCGTTTGCTCTTTTTGTTACGCGATGTTTCATCGCGAGCTTTCTTGCACGATACCTTCGTGGTGGGTGGTGGCAGGGACCAAAGAGGAAGGAGGGACAATTGGGGAAAAGACACGGGCGCTCTGTATCCCAGACACTGTCATTTGTACTCGTGGGTAAAACCACGAGGTGCCGGGCATGTTGTAGGCCCACCGTTGGTTTGCGCAAGTGTCATGGTGGGTGAAACCCCATGACATGCGGGGAAAGATAAGGTGCTGTTGTGTGCTTGGACGAGATGTTGTAGCACCGAACCACACTACCACGACGCCTTCGCATCGCTGGAACATGCATGCACGGTGAACGGGTAGTGGAACGTGGAACATAATACATTCATTCAATCAAAGCCGTGATGTGGGTAACACTACATCACAGGCCTGTTCGCCTCATCATCGCTATCATCATCATACGCAATGAACTCTCTCCGTCCACTCGATGCCTGCGTGACAAAGTATCGTGTCGTCTCGTACGCTCGTAGCTTCTTCTCTGCGCCTGGGCTGAACACTGAATCTGCTTCCTGGGGACCAGTGGGGATGGCTAGGAGACGCCTTTCGGCACCGGTCAAGCGCAGGCTGCTCTTCTCGGATACTGGCTCAGGAGAGCTGTTATTTTTCATCCTAGAAAGAGCGTTAGTATACGAGAAATAGTCAAGAGGAGCCAAGTTGTCTTACCATTGTTTACCCAGGTGCAAACCCTCAGCAACACAAGCCAATATCGCAACCACAACAATCATCTGCAGCGCCCACAGCCCCAAAAACGAGCTATGGAACTCTGGCGTAGACAATATCGATTCCGCATGACACACAATTCTCCTATGCGGACTCAACGTTGACTGTGCCTCCTCATGACTGTTCATCAGCACAGCAGTCGGTACCGGCTTTTGCGGCGCATCCTTGATAGCACCCGCCATATACGAGTCGTAAAGCTCCGGTTCTGTGTGCTGTAGTTTCTGCAATTCCGATCCTAGGCTTGCGCATACATTGAGTGCTGCGACGGGACTTTGCGAAGGGTCTGCTGGCGACCAATGTGCGGCGGAGGGTGTGTAGGCAGCAGAAGCGGGAACGGATGATGACGGCATATCAGCAACGATTTCGCAGCGACAATGTGTTTGTGTAGGCGCAGCGAGAGTAGTCGATGAGAGCAGCAGAGTCGCAACGAGCGACGTAGAGATTTTGGCCAACATGGTCGTGTGTGTGGTGATTATGGTGTCTTTTCTCCGTAGAGACGCGAGACACGATTATAAGTGTAGTTTTCTCTTGGTGTTAAACAAAGCCACGCGCTGTTACGTCTGTACCAAGGTGAGGGGAAGAGGCGCAGCGGTTGGGATTCCCTTGCTGGTCGGTCCGTTAGTGATGTTTTCGGGCGTACTTTTTCCAAGATGACATACCTACCAAGGACTGGGCCTTGACACCTAAGTAAGCGATGTGGTTGATGATAAGCAGTGGAATTGCTGGTGCGTCAAGTTGGGTGGTAATCTGGCGGCCTGATGTAATGGGCTGATGGAGATAAGGTGGTAGATGGGTAGGGGAGTGTGGTGTTGGTGGTGCTTATGAAGGATGATGATGCTATGCAATGCTATGCGATAGCGAACCGTCGATGGGATTGACTAGATTACTTGAAATGGTGAACAGGTGAAATCCCGAATGCGCGCAGCAGCAGCCCAGTCTATATGCGAAAATTATCCCCCGCCTCTGCCCATTCTGTGTTCAGCGCAGCTGTTGTATCAGCTACGCCCACACCACAGACGGCCGTTTCGCACAGTAGCATCTCGCCGGGGTCTAAGCGGGAAGCAGAGACCGGGTTCTAGAGTCAGCGGTCACGCCGGGGTGCGCGCTGCGCTGCGCCTTTTTGCTGTAGCTTTAGCCGAGATGAGCGCTCGTGTGTGCAGTAGGTGAACGGCGGGTTGTCTGTGAGCACATTAAGATAAGATGGGTGAGCTGATGGGAGGTTCGTGTTTTGTGGAAAGTGTGGGTTAGATTGCAAAGGTCATTGGTGCACTGGCTGCTGGAGGCGCAGCTGGGAACCGCGTTATGGCTAGCGGCGTCCCCACAGATCCAAGCATCGTCACTTTTGCTTCGTTCAATGGATGATGCTAGAGATGGTGTTCATCTCAGTTTCTGATTGTCTTGCGCACTCCAGCGATGACTTCACTCGTTTGCAGCTTCCGTCCTCTGCCATGATGCGGACCTCACTCCGGGTACCGCACTCACAGACAGGGGGCTCCACCCTCGAAAACGGACTGCGAAACGTTACTCTGGACACACGGACGTCCACATCCAGTACACCAACCCTCTTCCAGCCATAGCACATCTATTTTTCCTTCTCTCCTCGGCATCCTTCCGAGTCGTACCTGAGGCTAGAACTAGAACGAAGACAAACATCTCTCGGTCCTTCCCCACGGCTTGAGCTATTAATATTCTTTCTTTTTCTCGTCGCCAAGCAGGTACTGGCAATACATCGTATAGTACGCGGGTCCTTTCTGGTCTTGGTAATTGCGAGCGCGAGCGCTCTGGAGGGCTCTGGACCGGACAGTTTCGTGAGGTGGTACGAGACACCGACTCACCTTCCGGTCGCGTTTGTGTTGCTCGTACAGCTGTTTGTCTAGAGTTTGAGAGTCTCAGCTGTCATGTCAGATACCGTGGACTATCGAACACGGCGTTCCCTCCGCGCGCCGCTACTTAAGCATACAGCAACTCTTGCGCGACAGCGGGGCGGAAGGCCAAACAGTTGGAGTTGTGAATTACCTTTTTCTCACGAAACGCCTGGCTTGAGCTTCCGAAACGGATCTCCATGTGCTAAGAAATGCCGCGGAAAGCTTGTGAGTGATAGAGATCAGGGTTGCTGCATGTGCCGTTTCACAATGGTGGGTCTGTATAACCGCGGTTGATATCATATCGCTGAATTCCATGTTGGATGCCTCTTGAACGAGGATCACGGAAGAAGTGGAGTCATGAGAGTGAAAATGGTCAGATTCTTCAGTGTCTTAGCGACGGAACGATTGTCTCTATGAGAACGTGGTATCGCGGTAAATGCTCAGACTGGCAGCTGTCGCTGGAAGAATCTAACGACATTTGTGATGAGGAATATGGATTCCTTTGCGCGCGCTCGGATTTTGGTATGGGTCCCACCGTGCCGGTGAGTTCTCATTGACGGTCCAAGGTGCTATCGCGTCGCTGCAGCACTGTTTCTCAAGGTCCTCTTTCAGCTCATCCCAAGTATCCACAAAGCTCGGATCCATCCTCAGTATCTCTTTTCTCATAGAGTCCATATCTTTCTGGAGTCCACACTGCCCCAGTATTATCCGCTCCAGCTCTCTAGTAAGAATACCTTTCCACTCGCCCTCCCCCACGGTTCCACACTGTGTCGCAAGTTGTTGGAACTCTTCTTTCCCACATATGGCGCCCAAGTGCTCGACATAATCCGCCCTACCCCGAAAGCACTCTTTTAACAGCGCCATTCTCGTGATCTTAAACTTCTCCTCCTTGAACCAAACCACACCGCAAAACCGGCACCAGTTCTTTCCTGCTATGATCCATCGATAGAGACAGTCTTGACCGATAACATGCCGACATCCGGGCGTGAGGATCTTGACTGCGATTTTACAGCTGCCAGTGGGACTACAGCATGTGTGGACGCCGGATTTTTCCCATCTGCAATATTTCGGTGGTATGCCTTCCGTTGTGTTACGGGGTTGGGAAGGAACGAAGGTTTGGGTTTGTGCAAGCTGCGCGCTTATACTCGATACATCTGGGTTCGGTGATAGGCATTTCGTTGACAGTGGGAGGCTTGGGCGCTGTTGTGCGAGAACGGATCGTTCGACGAAGTCTTCTGAAAGCCGTCGTCGGAGATATGGCTGCGGTGTCAACGTTGCTAGTTCTTCTTTCGCCGCTTCTTTCGTGAGCCACCTCACTCTGTGGTCGCATGCTTCGGTCCAGAAATTGCACACAAACTGCTCGCAGACCATGCAGCGTTTGTTGAATCCCGCTAAACCGATTTTGCTGACGTTTTTGGTACGTAGCATGAGCCATACAGCGAGCGAGGGAGGTAAATCTGGTATGTATTCGGTCGCATCATTTCGTACACTGATTACCGGTGGGAATGAGTGGTTTCTGGAGAGGGACATGATTGGCCTTTACAGGTAAATGATGGATGGAATGATAGCGATGGCTGTTCGTGGTAAGGATCGGGGGCGTCTTGTGATAGTGTCAAGAGAGCTATACGTGGAGCGAAGGTAAGTGCAAGGACACGGGTGCAGATAGCGACTGCTTAGATACTCTCGAGGCAACGAGTACTGCGCTGCGGACGTAGTTGACTCCATTCGTGAATCAGGCAAGACCGATATACACCAGATCAGGATGCCCTTCAAAGGCCTCTCACTAGCGATGTCGCTCCTACCTTGGAACATTCCCACGAAGTACCCTTGTTTATTCTGCCCGTGTCTCATGTGCTTATCTGAATGCATAACTCGAAGGTCCTGTTGTAGGATTTGAAGGCAGCAGTTGCACGGCGTGTGGGAGTATCGGCAGGTTGTCGCCAGGCTCCGCATTGCTCACATTGTAAAGCATGCCGCGATTGCCGGCAACGGGGCGGTGAGTCCCACAGATTCAGGTGTGTGTGGTCACGTCTCTTGGTGTTGAGGAAGACAGTGACAGATGGGCTCTCAGATGCCGAGGTGGCTTCGCGTCGGCTTGCCCTTGGTCTCGCCAAGAGCTGCCGTATCAATGTTGACCCGCCAAAAGCGTCATGAACATCCACACGATCAACAAAGGGCTGTAACTTCATCGCTCTTACGCAGTTGACATTGCTATCGACATTGCACGCAGTCCCCTCCACCAGCCATCATGTGCCTCTCCGTCCAATCCTTCTACTCGCCACCTACCAGTATCTTCCGCCTTCCCGCGCATCGTCAACCGCCTCACCCCTCCCAACCCTCTACAAAACAATCGTCCCATTCTCCGCCGTAATAAGCTCAATCTCGCCCGGAATAACCGTCCCATTCTCCACGGCCGCCGCATGTCCCCTCGCCACCGCCCCATAAACCGGCAAATACTTGTCCAAGTACGGCAGCAGCTCTTTCGCGCCCGGCGTATTGCGCCAATCCCGCATCAGATCGCATACAATGGAGAAGAGAGAAACGAGCTGCACACCCGCGCCCTGCATGCGCGCGTTTGCCGTGTCGCGCACGAGCTGCGTGTAGGTGCCGCTGGCTTCGACGTTGGCGAAGACGGAGTAGCCTTCTGAGCGGAGGGCGAGGGCGAGGAAGGTGGTGCAGACGTCGGTTGTGATGCCGCCGACGATGATTTGCGTGCGGTTTGTTGCGCGGATGGCGGCGCGGAAGGCTTCGTTGTCCCAGGCGCTGGGGATGTGTTAGGAGAGGTGTTTGCTGAGAGGCAGGCATTGTGGTATGTTGACACAAGGTATAGTGATCACGATGAGGAAGACGACTTACCTGACCTCGCCCTGACGTCGGATAAGCGGCGCATCAGGATACATCTCCAGCATCTCCTTCGGCAACGGTCCATTGGGACCTTGGTCCGCAGACGTGCTCAAAATTACGGGTATGTCGAAAATCTTCCCAAGTTCGGCGTGCGCCAGGATATTTTGCTTGTAGAGGGTTGGGTCCCAGTCTCTGGCTAGCTGGAAGAGGCCGACTTGCAAGTCGAGAACGAGGAGGAGCTACGTGGGACGTTAGATGGGGATATGGGGTTGGAGAGTATGAAGAAGACTCACCGCCTTGTCCTTGTCGATGCGCTCCCATGGTACAGCTGAGAAGTGTTAGTTGCTGAAAGATCTATCTTGCAGGACAATCGTACCGTCACCGCGAACGGTGTTGAACAGCGTGAGGGCCGCGAGGGCGATGGCGGAACTGAACTTCATCTTAACGACTGATGAATGATCGGTATATCAGGT